ATATATCCCAAATATGGCTTTAAAACAGAATTTTCATTTTTTTTTTCACTACAATTGCTACAATTACTGAATGCCTTAAAATGGAGCGATCAATTTTAAAAGACACTTTATTTTTCGATTCTGTGGCAAATTATACTGTACAATTACATAATAAATCAGAAAAAAAATAATTTTAAATATTAATGTAACATTAAATAGTCTAATAAACGCCAGGTTTATAAATTTATAAGGCCGCCGATTTTAAAGTAATACAATTGATAATATAATCTCTCCACTTTATGACATCATCTTTTATGCCACGTATATGTGCCAAGGGATGGTCCGCTAGCGCCGATTTGTTAAATTAAATTTGATTCAATCAATCGTCTGCTTTTTAAGACAGTCTAGAGTACATAAAATCTTTGACACATTTGTCCATTATTCTCTTGAATTTTCCTCTTATTTAATATGTTTGCAAAATGTCGCAACGCGAACAATTGTATTTAAAAGAAATTAAATGGTATTTATTATGTAGAATACAAATAATTTTTTTTTTACACATACCCAGGATTTATTGATTGTAAAGCATACAGGAATCTATTATAACGAGAATTACAACTGAAACAGTCAATTGAAAAATAACCAGCAGCATTGTTCTGCACTGTTAAATCATTTGCGACACTTCATTTACCTCTACAATTGTTTTCCTCTATTAGTGCGCCGGGAAAGTTAAATACAGGTAAGGAACAATTTAAAAGCGTTAGAGACAGAGACAGAGAGAAAGAGAGAGAATATTACGGACCAACCCAGGCATAATTTCATGTACTTTTATTTGCAAAGAACGCGCGTCGTGTTTCCAAGTGCATTAGCAGTTAATTGTTCGATATAATTTACAGCGCGCATATGTAGATTAGTGAAATCTGGCACTTCACTCGTATTGTGACAGCAAACATGTTGTAATGGGCAGATTTTCACTCTTGTACACATTCGTCTAGCTTTGCTGAATCACAATACAATATATCCTTGCATGTTTGTCCTGTTGCAATAAATCGAACAGTGAACGCTAATGTCCTCGTAAGGATTTCTTTTCTCTCACAGCACGTTTGTTCGCAAACACTTGCTCTCTAGCGGATAAGAGATAACGCCGTATCGTGGTAGCACGTCAGCGTGGAAGAACGTGGCAAGACTCGTTCGAAGAAGAGTAGACGTTCGAAGAAGAGTACACGTGAACGAACTCTATATATTTCGAGCATGACTGCAAGAAGTGAGTTATGTACATTATTATTTCGTAAATATGCCACAGCGGCCAACGAATTAGCCCTTGCCCTTGTTCCATGTCACGTAACAGCAAAGATGGCGGGATTAAAGTTCGGGAAAGTAATAATAGCAGGACACAGGAGGATGAGGAGGGTGGGGGAAGGAGCGAGAGGGGGAGGATGTTTTGAATAATTATTAATATATAATATTATAATAATAACAATAATGATGAGGTGTTCTAAACAGTGCTAGGACTAGTGCTAGAGGGTCCTGTGTGAGGAATCAGGGTGGGTGGGTACACGGGCTAAGGAAGGGTTAGTGCGGAGGTGGCGGTTCCGTAGATTGGTTTCTTCCATCTACAGCCCTAACAGGCTTCCTACGTGAAGAGCCTGTCACTCCGACCGAACCCACCCCACCTCTCAGATAAGCGGGCGCCGGAGTTGCTATCGGTTCCCTAATAGTTCCAGTACCGGTATTCCTAATTGGCGGCGGCAGTGGTTGCTGCAGTACCTACATCACACGAAATTTTTACTCCTTATTGGCATGTCTCGAAGTAACATCGAGGTAAAAGAAATATTTCTGCGGCTATCATCTTGTACAGCGAAACTAAATATGACGAGTAACGAATAAAATAAAGGAGACATATGCTAGAGATGTCGTAGCTATGTCGTGTTTCAAATATATATTATATATTAATTTCGTCCTTGTAACATTTCTAATTATTTTTTATTAAAACAAATATCGAAAATATGTTACATTAGATTTCAGAAAAAATCAATGCTTACCAATGGCTGAGGTAACACACTATGCATCAATGTTTGAACTATAGGTGGATTTTGTGTTGCAATGCTATTAGGATTCGGGGGTAAACCCTGATTTTGCAGACCTGAACCTACACTGCCAGTGGTAGCGGCAGCAGCCTGCAGAATATGTGATTCTTTTTGTTGCATAGATGCCTGTGGTGTCACGTGTTTACTTGTCGCTTGTTCCCTCTTCGCTTCCTGAGCTAAACTTAATTTCTTCGTAGAGACGATGGAAGCATTGGCGTTTGGTGTTTCGGGACTGGTCGTGGCAGTAGTCGCACTCGACGCCGGTGTTTGCACGTTGCATTGCTGTTGCATCAACTCTGACAATGTTTGAGAAAGCGTTCCGACGATAAGTTCACGTGTAAAAAGGCTCCTATTTGCACTTTCGCGTTCAATACTTTGCAGTTGTGAATCAGACGGCGTTGTTGTAATGCATCTGTACAAATGTGGAGAAAGATAATCATGTTTATCAAATATTTTGCAATGCCTCTATTTCTATTGCCTTAAAAGATATATACATTTATCTTTTTACTGTTTGTAAATAGACACTTAATTTCTCAGTAACATATATCATGACATATTGTCATGTGATAAAATCAAATTGCTTTGCCAAGTTGCTAAAAATAGACACTTCATTATTTATGTAATATTAGTTTTTAGCAATTTCCTGACACGCAATTTAAAAAATTTTATATGCTACAAAAAAGAAGCAATTGCATAAAATATTACATTACATAAATTGTTTTATAGCAAATGCTTGAATTAATTATCATCTTTCTCTTGTCTGTACTTTAATTCTTAAATATTGCAATCAAAATTCACAAATTGATATTTGGATTAATATTCCGTAGAAGTAAAATGTACTTATAATTAATTAAACATATCTTTTGCTAATATTAATAAATATCAAATATAAATAGCTATATTCCCTTTCTAACTAACTTCCTTCCTAACTTTAAAATATTATTCGAAGATACAAACGGAAACTGAAGTATGAAAAATATACCTGGGCAACAGGAACATAACGTTCTGTGAATTAGTAGAAGACACACCGGACGGGTTGGCCGCATTGGTCGCATTATTGTTACTACTCGTACTATTCGATGCCGCCAAAGTAGTAGAATGACCGCTACCACCGCTACCACCCCCGCTACCACCACTTACAGAACCGATCACTTGCGTCTGTCTCCTTGGTAATCGCTCGAGTTGTTGTCTAGCAGCCTACAAAAAATGTTTTATTTTAATAACTGTATTGCTTAATGTAAAAAATTATTGATGCTTTCGACACGTAAATTGACTGATGTCAATGCTGATTAAGTAAAAAAAAAAAGTATAATTGTCTAATCTTATTGCATAAAAATCAAATAATGATTAGAGTGTGAATAATAATTACACAGATAATTTACAAATCACATATAGAAAAGTTTATAAAAAAACAAAACTAAACAGAAATGGATATTACTAAATGATATTACATGCGGTGCAAGTGCTTCTAACATCCCTCTTCTCTTTTATTAATATTGTATCCTGTATTATTGTATTAACACAGTAACTCGTTAAAAAATAATGAATTATTAGTTCACTTTGATATTCTTGAGTATTTATTTAGTTTTTGTCGTTCTTCAAATATATTTTTCAATCTCGCTTGGATTAAAGTTAGCAATTAATCAAATTCTTTAAATCTTTATAATCCACATAGATTCACATTTTACACACTATCATTTTTCCTGCCTTTATCCTTCTAATGCCCTGCTATGCTTGTTTGTAAATATTTGATCTTATATTTCTGACAGATAAAAGTAATGTTGTATCATGTGAAAGAACATAAAACATGTTTGAAATAAATATGTAAACAACTTCTACGTTCTAAGCATAATTTTGAGAGTAATTTTTTAACAGAATAATGATATAACAAAAAAGTTAAAATATTTGATATGCAAAAATAAATGTACAATCAACGGCATATGTTGACGGTTTCTTGCACATTTTCTTATTAGGCACATATATTTGCATAGTCATGTATCATAACTGTTGGTTAAAATATCTAACATTACTTTTCATCAATTAATTTGCTGTTTTACAATCTATTATTTTCATTTTCAAATATTCTCAATTGTTTAACTATCAGACACAGTTCTAAATAATGATGCTTCAAATGTGCTTAACTTGAAACATGAAGAAATATATATGATGTTATAACTTAATGAAAGTTGTGTTAATTATGCTCTTTTAACGTTAAAAATAAATCTGTTTATACCCGGACTTGTTGTCGTTCTAATTGCAATTGCATTTGTAGTTGCTGTAGCTGTGAAGGTGCCGAGGAACTTTGTCCACTTCCGCCTCCACTTCTACGTACTCCTGACAATTGGGATAGCAATTCCGCAATTGGGTCTATACCTTCTCGATTACTTGGACTCAGTCCTCCTGATGAACTGAAATGCATGTTGGACCTGCAGGTCCAATGATACTCCAATGAACATTATCTAAGATGAAGTGATGATGGCAAAAACTTGTTTATCATAACAGTCTACATCAAATTCTCACAAGAGAAAAAATATTTCGAATGTGATTCGGCTTGTATAGAAATTTATACGAACATTCTCTTTATAAAAGAGTAACTAGAAACAATATTATAATCATTATACAGTGGCAACTATCATACAAACTTAACAAATTCATGTTAATTAGCGCGTCTGCTCGAAATGCTAAAAATATCCTAAATATAATATTAAATGTTGATGAGTGAATCAACAGTGTTTAGCAGAGATTTGCCGTTTTGTTACATACCTACGTGCACGTGGTGCACCAACAGCTCTAGACGGATGTGGTATCCGTCTAACGCCGTGCCTACTCGCAGACGGTTCATCCAAAAAGGATATCAGGTCCCTTGGTCCACTACGATGTTCTAGTGTTAGGTGGCCCGCAAAATCATCAGTTACATGATTAGGATCTCCACCTGGCACTGCTGCGCATACTGGACAAACCTTTGAGAAAGAAATACTCGAGTTGTACACTTATGCAACCATTATATAATGTTATAGTGTAACTTAGACTTGAATATAAATATTTTATTTCTTTATATACGTACAACTTCGAACGAAGTATCAGGATGATCAGCAGCGACGTGTTCTTGCAATGTAGCCTCAGTAAAGCCCATTTTCGTGCAATAGGGACAAGTTAAGGATTGAGGCTGTTCCACACTTACGCCTTCACCACCATAGTATAATTCTATTAAAAAATTTACCATTAAGAATAAATTAGGGAATATTTAATAATTTCATCTTCAGTATTTTATTTATATTTAAAAGTAATTTATTTATAAGCCCCTCAACGTTTTTCAAATAAACTTCCATAAAACAAAATAGTAAAAATAAAAAGTTGTCACTGGTAAAAACTCAATTTGCAAAAATTTTTCACTTTTCAGATATTTATAATTAATTATTGATACTTTGATATTGACGTAAGTATTATCTTGTTTACTTTAAAACATGTAATTAAAGAGTGCACATGTGATAATACTTCTAAAAAATTATACAACTCACTATCAGATAAAGAAATATTATCTTAAATTTGATAAAATTCTTACCAAAATCAGATCTAGTAAGTATGCACTGCATAGGATGATCTGTGAGGTGGCGTGTGGTACTGGCGCCTCCCTCGTAGCAGCTGGCACATAGATCATAATCGTAGCATACGAGGCACTTGTATCTACGACCCCGAAAATTTCCCTTCAAGCAAGAATCACAGCTTACCCCTAAAAAGTAAATATATTAATATAGATGCAATTATATTCTATAAAACAATACATATTATACATAGGTTCCATATTATACATATTATACATAGGTTCCATAATTTTTAGATATTGGTTTGACTATTTCTATATAAATATATATTACAGAGTAGTGGAATCTTTTTAATCTTAAATATCATGACATTTAATATATTAAAATCAATATTTGCAAATTGCTATCTTTTTACCAATATTTTTTTATATATATGACAACAAAAGTTGTCTTTAAAAGGGAGAAAAATGACAGGGAGTACATGTGAGTAGGAGGAAAAAAGGATTAATTAAAAAATATATATTCATATATTTTTGTGATGTTTATAGATCTATTTATAAATCATGCCTTCAAGAAAAAGCTTATATAATTTTTGAATTAGCAAGATTTTATAATATTAAATAATATATAAACGTGTTCTAATTAAAATAAATTATATCATATTTGATACTCTCTCAGCAAAATTCATTTCATTCACACTATGTAAAATAAGAATTTTTAAATACTTCTGACCTGTCAATAACAAGAAATTACCACTACATTAAAAGTCAGATGACCGTAAAACTATAAATAGCAATACATAGCAAAGCGAGTCATAGTCTTGCAATAATGAAAAGAGATTCGACACAATATATGTTTTTTGAATAAAGTAGCTATATTTGAAATATAAATGTTTATAAAAAATATAAAATAACTATTGTATGCACATTTATGTTGTTATTAGCAACTAAAATCTGTACAATATATATATCTAGTATTTCATTTATAAGAAAATACTGTATGAAACTAATAAAATACACTAAATATTAGATTTCCTAAGTTTAACTGCACCAATTTATCATTTTTACGTCAAACATGATAATTATATAACAAATATAACATGTATCTCAAAAAATGTGTTCTATGCTTGAAGCACAAATTTCCTTGTATTATAAGTACATGCAGGACACGACTTCATTTATTATAATTTTGAAGGCCAGAAGTTTAAAAGCAATATGACTCTTGTAAAAGCTTTATTCCTATGACATACATTAAACAGGGATGCTGTGATGGAAATCAAAAAGACAAGGAATCTACGAAAAGGCATGAATTGCTACCCAAAACTCTTATTAACCATCTGTACAAATAGTTTCAGACAAGAAGATTGTGTTAAGACTGAGAAAAGCTTGCAATATGTTCTACAAGAAAAAGATTCATCATCATCATCATCATCCAGAGAAGGGGCTAAGAGTGAGGTGACTGTTCTGAAAGAGGAGTCAGCTGACACGATAAGACGGTCTGACAGCTGATCGGACGTGGTGATCGATAATCAGATAGCGGGCCAGGACAAAGCAGAAGTCAGGCATCGTCGCGAATCCTGGGAGAACGTCCAGGAAAACGTCGTAAATCGCAGAAATTCGCGTGAATTTTCACCGTGGCGTGCTGCCATCTGGCCTGTGACAGACCCCCTCGGCCCTCGGGGAGCTCGCGAGACACGTCCCGTGTCGTCCCCGTAAGCTCGATGGTCTCTCGCGGACACCGTCGCGGGTCCGCGCGGACTCTCGATGATCACTCTCGTATGCCCGACATGACCCGAAATCCGCTCGCCACGGCAGCAGTCACGCGTATTTCTGCGCGGGGTGTCCCGTCCCGCGAGCTGACTTGCTAGTCAGAACGCGCAGCGCACGTACATACCTTCATGTCGACTCATTTTCCGTTTAAAATCTCATACGCCAAAACTACGCGGGCCCTTGCGCGATTATTCGCTCTGCGAGACGCGACTTCCTGGCCGTCAACTTGCGCGTGCACTTCAGCGTCGCTTCAACCACAGTGGACACGACACGGGGAAAACATCAATCGTCAAACAAAAAATTTGTCGTTAGAATTTCCAGCGTAAAACCTAACCCAACTAGGTTGACGAACGTGACGTCACGCTAGACCGACTTACGCTCCTCCTCCCGGTGAACGTTGTGTGCCGCCTGCTGGACCGCGGCACGATCGTCGCGACGTTGTCGCGATTCGATGCCATGTTACTATGCTCGGCGGGAAAATATAAAACATTGATCAATAGCGGTTTATATTTTAGAAAAATCTTATCGCTTATCACGCAATACACAACTACAATAATTATATTGGCTGCACATTTTACGATAAAAATGCATCAGATAAAAGTTTTATTGTATTTTATCAACTTTATAATGGTGTATTTAAATTTTTCATATACCTTGTAATTTTGATGATGTTCTTTAGCGAAAATATTGGTACTGTGATGTTGGCAATATTGGTATATTATAATATCCGATAGTATGCCGGAGGCGATCTATGATTTCAATAGTTCATGGTAAAATCTAGTAATCTGGCACTCCTTTCACGATACTTTCCGAAAGGCGCTCTATCCGCATTCGTATCGTTCCGCCGGCGGTCGCGAAATTCCGAATCAGATCTCGCGAAATCGCATCATTTATCGAACAATGGCCACTCCATATGGACGTATAATTGTATATGGGGGCAAGGGTGCCCTCGGCTCAACTTGCATATCGCAATTTAAATCGCAAAATTGGGTAAGTAAGGGAACACATGAGTATCATTATCTTCCTGATTGACCGCACGACTGTCTTGTCGCGATAGATTTTATCGATACATATAAAACAAAGTATTTTTTTTATTAAATATTATAAATATATAAGAATTGTAAAAATAAAATAATTATCAACTAATTAATATACTAATTTATTACCTTTTTATTTATCTATCATATATAGTTACTGTCAAATTATACGATAAGCTATTTTGTCGATTTTATTTTCTTTGCCGCAGAATTTTTTGTAATAAAATAAAAACTATTTTCCGCTATAACATATGATTTATGAAATATTTATAAGCTTATATCGAACGATTGGGAGTGTCATATGATTCTGTCAGAGATAATTTTTTTTTGCGATTTTCTCGGTTTATATAAGTTATATATACATGTATATATAGTTTGTGATTATAAATATTCATATTTATTATAATTTTTGCATATATTATAATTTTTACATATTAATACGCTATAAATAATAAATGAATGATAATTCTGATATTTTAATATAATTTGGGAACTTTAATCAAACTTTAATCAAAATCAAGTAAAAGGAATGTCAAAATTAATAGATGTTTACATGAAATTTTTTTTTATTATATATGTATGTGTGTGTGCGTGTATGTGTGTTGCATGTGCAGACTTATATTACGCATAAAAACATTGCCATATCAAGGTTATTGCTAGTTAAGCAAGACCTTTCACAAAATCCACTTCTAGAATCTGTTCAATTTATTAGTTAAATATACATCTAAGTTGAATATATTTTATATTAACTAGAAATACATTTGTTATATTAATTTTTATTGATAAAAAATGGAAAAGTGGATTTCAATAATTTTTCTATTAAGCTTGTTCTATAAATTCTTTCTCTTCCATGTTATTTTAATTTCTGTTTATATAGTAATAATTTGATCAGTTATATGGCTAATAGAGAATTATCTCGTATAATTTGACCAAACTGTTTTAAATATTTTTAAATTTTGTTATGATTGTAAGCATATTCTTATAAAACGGATATAAATATTTAATAACATGTTAACATTATACCAATAACATTTTTTATTATTTTAAGAATATAATTCACAATAAATATTATATTATAATTTGTAGTGGGTCGGTAGCATTGATATGAAGCCAAATGAACAGGCTAATGCAAACATAATTGTCAATCCTGATAATAATTGGCAGGAACAGGTAATTTTTTTACTATTTACCATTTTATTATTTGCAACGATAGAGATTGATTAATTTTTTACCATACAGCAAACAGAAATTTTAGCTCAGATTAAAGATGTATTAAAAGATGGGAAAGTTGATGGCATTATTTGTGTGGCTGGAGGATGGGCTGGTGGCAATGCAGCACACAAAGACTTTGTGAAGAACAGTGATTTAATGTGGAAACAGAGTGTTTGGAGCTCTGTTATAGCTGCTAACATTGCAGCTGAATTTCTGAAGGAAGGAGGATTTCTTTCATTGACTGGTGCTAAGGCAGCATTAGAAGGAACACCAGGTTTCTTATTGAATCATAACACAAAGTATCAAACGCTTTTTCATATTTGTTAAAAGAATTGATCTTATTCGCTTAGGCATGATTGGTTATGGAATGGCAAAAGCAGCTGTTCATCAGCTGACAAAATCTTTGGCAAATAAAGATAGTGGTCTTCCTTCCAACAGTTTGATAACTTGTATACTACCTGTTACTTTGGATACACCAATGAACAGAAAGTGGATGCCCAAAGCTGATACAAGCACGTGGACTACACTTGAGTTTGTGTCAAAGTAAGATAAGTTTTCAATTATAATTAAATTAACATTGGTTGAAATCAACCTTTATAAACTTGTTTTTATTTATAGTCTGTTCTGGAAATGGTCTCAAAATCAAGATCGGCCTACTAATGGTTCTCTGTTACAACTCATTACTAAGGACAATAAAACGGAAGTGATCCCAAGTCACATATAATGATATCAAATGAATAAAATCTATGGGAACAACTATCTCTATGACAGCAGCTATCTCTATGAAGCATCTATGACAATACGATAATATATATATATGTGCACTTCATTTTGTTATTTGAAAAGGATATATATGTTCAAAGAAAAGTTATACAAAACAATTTTTATTTTTGTACATCATTATATACATATATTTTGTAGATTGTTATATATATATAT